TTCTAATTTATTTATTTTAATTGGAGGCTAATTACTTTACAATATTGTGGTGGTTTTTGCCATACATTCACATGAATCAGCCATGGGTGTACATGTGTTCCCCATCCTGACCCTCCCTCCACCTCCCTCCCCATCTCATCCCAGCCCTGAGCACCCTGTCCCATGCATCAAACCTGGACTGGTGATCTATTTTACATGTGATAATATACATGTTTCAATGCTACTCTCTCAAATCATCCCACCCTTCCCTTCTCCCACAGAGTCCAAAAGTCTGTTCTTTACATCTGTGTCTCTTTTGTTGTCCCTCATATAGGATCATCGTTACCATCTTCCTAAATTCTATATATATATGTGTGTGTGTGTGTGTTAATATACTGTATTGGTGTTTTTCTTTCTGACTTACTTCTCTCTGTATAATAGGCTCCAGTTTCATCTACCTCATTAGAACTGATTGAAATGCATTCTTTTTAATAGCTGAGTAATATTCCATTGTGTATATGTACCATAGCGTTCTTACCCATTTGTCTGCCGATGGACATCTAGGTTGCTTCCATGTCCTGGCTATTGTAAACAGTTCAGCTGGGGTTTTGAGCCTCTCAGTCTAATTAATAGATAACTAGGTGGTGGGAAGATTAACTTGGAGGAGAAGATCTTGGCTTCTACTTGCCTCGTTCCCACTGGTCAGTTTGTACCTCCCCATTCGACAAACACATTAACACAGAAGTAGGCAAGTTAGTGTCTGCCATCTCATGCTTTAGTCTTTGTCAAAAACAGATTCTATAGTTCTTTGGGGGCAAAGATGTCTCATTCACTTTTATATAACCCTCTTAACTATCAGCATCCTTGGTATGTAGTAGATGATCGCTTTTTTCCCCTGATGGCTCAGATGCTAAAGTGTCTGCCTGCAATATGGGAGACTTGGGTTTGATCCCTGGCTCAGGAAGATCCCCTGGAGAAGGAAATGGCAACCCACTCCAGTACTCTTGCCTAGGAAATCCCATGGACGGAGGAGCCTGGTAGGACTCCATGGGGTTGCAAAGAGTCGGACATGACTGAGCAACTTCACTTTTCACTTTCACTATAACTAATATTCAATGTTGTATTATTTTCAGGTGTGCAGTGTAGTAGTTCAACATTTGTATGCATAACACACTGATCATCACGATATGTCTAGTAACCATCTGTCACTATACAAAAATATTGCAGTACTGTTGACTATATTCCCTATGTTGTGCATGCCTATGACTTATAACTAGAAGTTTATACCTCTTAAATCCCCTTCACTTGTATTGCACAGCCCCTGCCCACCTTCCCTTTGGTGAACATCAGTTTATTCTCTGCATCCATATGTATATTTCTATTTTGTTTTGCTTGTTTGTTTGTTTTGTTTTATAGATTCCATGTATTAGTGAAATCATATGGTGTTTGTCTTTCTCTTTCTGACTTATTTCCTATGTCTTTCTCTTTCTGACTTAGCATAATGCCCTCTTGGTTCACCCAAGTTGTTGCAGATGCCAAGATTTCATTCTTTTCTTATGACTGAGTAATATATTCAATGTGCCTGTATGTGTTTATACTGTTCTCTTTTTTCCTTCCGTTCTTCTGTTGATGGACACAGATTGTTTTTGTATCTTGGCTATTTGCTGCAGTGATCATAAGGGTGCGTGTGTGTGTGGGTGTGTGTGTAGGCTAAGTAACTTCAGTCATGTCTGACTCTTTGCCACCCTGTGGACTATGGCCCACCAGGCTCCTCTGTTCATGGGATTCTTCAGGCAAGATTACTGGAGTGGGTTGCCATGCCCTCCTCCAGAGGGTCTTCCTGACCCAGGGATCAAACCCACATTTCTTATATCTCCTGCACTGGCAGGCGGGTTGTTTTCCACTAGTACCACATGGAAAGCCCGTAAGGGTGCATATATATTTTCAATTGGTATTTTTGTTTTCTATGGATAAATACCCAGATGTGAAATCACTGGGTCGTATGGTAGTTCTGTTTTTAATTTTTTGAGAAAAATCCATGCTGTTTTCTGTAGTGGCTGTCCCATTTGCATTTGCACCAACAGTGCATGAGGGTTTCCTTTTCTCCATATCCTCACCAATAATTATTTGTTGGTTATTATCAGAGAGACTTTCTGATAGGTGTGAGATGATATCTCATTGTGGTTTTGATTTTCATTTCCCTGATGGTTAGTGATGCTGAGCTCTTTTCATGTGTCTGTTGATCACCTGTATGCCTTCCTTGATAAAAAGTATCTACTCAGGCCCTCTTCCCATTTCTTAATCAGATTTCTTTTTGTTATTGAGTTGTATGGATTCTTTGTATATTTTGGATATTAGCCTCTTAGCAGATACATGATTTGCAATTATCTTTTCCTGTTCTGTAGGCTGCCTTTTGGTTTTATTGATCACTTTCTTTTCCATACAAAAGCTTTTTAGTTTTGATGTATTCCCATTTATTTATTCTTGCATTTGCTTTTAAAATCCACAGGAGTCCTGCAATGTGTGGCCTGAAACCCTTTTCGGCCTATGTGAGTTCAAAGGATGAGATAAAACACTGTCTTTGGGGGAAAAAAAACAAAACCTACTCTTTCTTAAAAGGGTTAAGTTTTAATAAAATTGAAATTTCTGTTTTAAATTGTTTAGAAATTAGACCTTGTCATTAGGTCTCCAAGTAGGGTGACTTCTAAATACAATGTTTACAATAATATTATTAGTATAGAAACCTGAAACGCGCATCCCAATGCAAAAATAGTTTGCTTTCGCTGAGCTCATTTGGGCTAAGTCTCCAAGTATTTCCTTAACACTAGTTGCAGAATACTGAGCTTGGAAGGAATTTTTAGAAAAGGATTATAATTATCATCATCAGTAGCTCCCATTCCATGGTTTGCCTCCAGTTGGCAAGCAGTAAAAGAGCATCTTGTTCAATGCCCTCATGAACTTGGAATATTATCTCCATTGTACAGACAAGGAAACCAAGGCCCAGATAATGGATATAATTTGTCTAAGGACACATATCTCACATACATGCAAGCAGAGCTATCTCACTTGAAAACCATTGTTTGGGGAAACTTGACCAGTATTCAAGTAGGTGTAGAATTTTTTGCAAGCAGCTACTTGACTAGCTGCTTGTCTAGGGAACTATCAGACACTAATGGCTCCCTTTCATGTGGTGTGTCTTCTTGCCTGATGCTGGATGCTTAGAAAACTGAAACTAAAGAAAGGATCTTGGTGTTTCTAATTCATTTCTTTTCCTCAGCTCTGCTCCTGCCTCCCATTTTACCCCTCTTATAGGAAAGCATTCCTATGGTTTTGCTTCAGAAGTTTGTGATGACTACTTGGCAAATAGCCCCGCCAAACTATTCTCGTATTTTAGAAAAATGTTTTCTGAGATGCCTCACAAACTGGCACTTATACTGAGTTTAACCTGTACCCGTAAGAGAGGAACTTGGTCTGTATTGTCAGCATAATGTACTGCACAATCAGAGCCTGATTCACTGTATCACATGAATATTTTGACTAGATGACAATAGCCATCTGCATTTTCTGAATTTCTTACTGATTTTGGTTTTCGTATTTCATTTTTCAGGTAAAGAAGGGCTATTTTATCTTAAGGAAATTTTGTTACAGGTTTGGCATGGCTCAAACACTATAGTGTTTCAATTGCTGAACGTATATAAGTATTTCATTTTGGGTATGTGTGTCTTTATATTGAATACAGATTCATTTTAACTTGGGAATGTTTATGATACTCTCCAGACTTGACTTCTGTTAGTTTTTCTAAATTAATTAGTAGAGTTCATTACAGGATGATGGGGCCAATCTAGTGACCTCTTTGGGTGCAGTATAGACAGGTGTGTGTGTGTGTGTGAGAGTGAGAGAGAAAGGGAGAGAGAGAGAGGGAGTGGGGAGGAGAAGGATACTAGGCATACTTGGGATTTGGAATTTATAAAAATTATTTGTCTCTTTGTTTTCAGATTCACTTAAATTTCTTTCTTATTATAGGAATAATGTATCATTATTTTAATAAATGTAGATGAGCACCCAAAAGAAAAAAAATGACATCTTAATGTTAGTCATTGTTAAGATTGTGGTTTACTTGGTCTCAATTTTGTATGTGTGTTTGTGTATTTGTGTATGTGTGCGTGCATTTATATTTGATTTGGCAAAATTGAGACTATGCTATAAATATTCTGGAGATTATTTTCATTTTTTATTTTTTTTATTTTATTTTTTATTTATTATTTTCACATCTATTTATTCATTAAATACCCTTCTGTAATTTTTCATGATTTTATTTCTTTTTGGCTGTGCTGGGTATCTGTTGCTGCGTGGGCTTTCCTCCACAGTGGTTGGGGGCTGCTCTCTAGTGGTGCACCAGCCTCTCACTGTGGTGGCTTCTCTCATTGCAGAGCACGGGCTCTAGGGCACCCAAGCTTCCGTAGTTGCAGCGCACGGGCTCAGTAGTCGCGGCTCCTGGGCTCCAGAGCACAGGCTCAGTTGTGGCGCTTGGGCTTAGTTGCTCCGTGGCATGTGGAATCCTACCAGAGCAGGGATCAAATTCGTGTCTCCTACATTGGCAGGTGGATTCTTTACCACTGAGTCACTAGGGAAGCGCTATAATATTTTTAACGTTTGTAAGATTTAGGTTTTTATTATACTTTTTCCTTATTCTATATCTGGAATTTTTTTGGTTGCACTGCATGTGGGATCTTAGTTCCCTGACCAAGGGTTGAACCTGCACCCCCTGCCTTGGAAGTGCAGGGTCTTAACCACTGGACCATCAAGGAAACCTCCTTTTTAATTTGTCATCTGGCAGCAACTGCCAGATAGAAGGAGACTTTTTAAGTTTTGAATTACTCATCAGCCCCCTTCCCCACAATCATCAGGAGTGTGTGTTTTCTGTGGCTTGCTGCCCTGCTCTGTGACCCAGCCCCCACCGGAGAACACTGTGGAACTGTTGGCTGCTGCCAGATCATCTCCCTTTCCTGTTTCTCTTGCAGGAGACAGAGCATGTGGTATCCAGCCAGTCGGAGTGTCAAGGGAGACCAGGAACAGCAGCTCAGAAGAGTACACACAACCCCACCTCCAGGTGCCAGGAAACTGCGCGAGTTCAACCAAGGTGGGCCCTTTGTTGTCAGAAGTTGCACTGGGCCTGGGATTCCTTTCCCAGACATGGTAGCACCTGTGCTTGCTACCCCCACACAAGGGGCAAGGCTTTCTCACTTTCGTTGGCATCACTTGAAGTCAGAGAAGCTCTTTAATGGGGCCTAGAAGGAGAATCATTTCTAAGAGAAATACAAATAACCTACTTTCTCTCCCTTCAGTCTGAAGATAACCAGCCTTGAGGCTCAGAGAAGAGAAGAGACCTTCCTGCCCCGAGAAAGAGAAATGCTGATATCATTTTGCCCTTTTTCATTCCTTGCTAGAGATGATTAGCTTTTCTTCAGTGATCATGGTAATTAGTAATAATAGTGTAGGCATCAAGCCAATTGCTTCTCACATATTCTGTCATTTAGCCCTCATCCCTTCTCGGATGTGACTTAGCAGCAGCAGCAGCCTTCCCCAGAAAGTGGGTTCTCTTAGCCGCATTTTATGGAGAAGGACCCCGAGGCTGAGACATTAAGGCACCTGCCTGATACTGTACAAGTGAAAAAGGCTGAACCAGAATTTGAGCCTACAAATGTCTGATTGCAGCATAGCAGGTGTGGCTTCTGTGCTGATCCAAGTGATGTCTCTAAGCCCTGAAGTGGCCCTGGGCTGGCCTCCCTGGTCTCCTAGACCTGCAGGAGGCAACTTCTGGGTCCAGGGCAAGAACTTGGGTGAAGGCTGACTGCAGCAAGGTTGACATGGCATTCAGATGGGAGCCTGGCCTTGCAGCTGTCTATGAAAAGTCTCTTCTGGAAGTAAACAGAAGAAAGAATTCAACCACTAGTTGTGGCAGCTGTCTTTGTAGGATCTTGTGTACAGTGTAATCATAGCTCTCAGGAGAAAGGGAGGGCTGGGCTTCTGTCATGACCTTTCAAAATTTTTTCTAAGGCAGCAGGGTCTCAATGAATCAACAACAGACAAGACTGGCTGTACTATGAAATTGTGCCTTTTTTAAAAATTAATTTTTATTGGACTGCAGTTGATTTACAATGTTGTGTTCTTTTCTGCTCTACCGCAAAGTGGATCAGTATACCTATTTCCATTCTTTTTAGATTCTTTTCTCATGTAGATCATTACAGAGAATTGTGAAGAGTTCCCTGTGCTCTCCAGTAGGTCCTTATTATTTATATATTTTATATGTAGTGAAGTTGTGTTTTTATATATTCAGCATACTAAATTTAGAATCATAGAGCCTCAGGTGGTTGATAGAGATCCTAAACTTAAGGTGATCCATTATCTGGTTGGATTCTTGGATATCTTTTCTCACCTTCTTTGCTGATTGCCATCTCTTGTCTGTTTATTTTTACCTGACCTTGGATCGGGTGAGCCTCAGTCGTGTCATCTCTCTGCTGATCAGAACATTCACCCTCCTATTGGAAACCTCACTGTAGCAAAGCTGTTTTACAGCCAGTTTAGACAGTGACCCTGTCTTATCCCACTAGAGTGGTGACTCCCTCTCTCAGGAATAATAAGGCCAACTCTATTCCTATGCATATTTCAAAGCTGTAAAGAAAGGTACAACAAAACCCACAACAGACAAAATGAAAACAACCTACAAAATGCACATTCATATTTGTGTGGAATGCATGGTTCCCTTTGGGGTGACTATTCCACAGAGGCTGATGGGGAAAATGAGGTCCGTAATTCAACTTCTCAAAGATGCTGGATGTTTGGTAAAATTAAGACCACTTTATATCCCATCTACAGTGGAAAAGGTAAATGGTATTATTGCTGCTATCAGAGGGCAAGTCAGAAATATAATAGGATTCGGTGATGGGGATTATTTACTTATGACTAGTAAGAATTAAGAGTGTTGAATTAGAGAAGTCCTCATGAGGAAACATACAGGCCAGCACCTCTTGGGAATGGGGAGTTACAGTTCATTTGGATTCTCAGATCTATGGCACTCTTCTTCAGAAAAAAAGAGATGCACATATACACATAAGTTTGTGTAACATTTTAAGAGGTTCCTAGACCTCTTCTGCATGTCAGAAAAAGGAGCCAGATACACTGGTCATTGGGCTGCCTTCCTTGTTGAGTCAAGCTAGTCTCCCCAACAGAGTGGGCTTTTCTTGCAGAAACAGATCTCTCTGTCTTCCTCTACACTTCAGCAAATCTCCATGGGACCCCAAATATCTTGTTGTTCTTTTATTCTTTTTCCTTTCTAGCCTTCATGTTCTACTTTGCTTTTCATCTAGCAGCATTCCAGAAATGTCTATGCATCAGCATTGACAATCACAGGATTTGGTGTTAGGTTACAGATCAGGAGCTGTGAAGTCAGTTATGTCTGGCGTATTAGGTTTAGTATTTAGATCGGTATGGTAACTTTAAACTACAGAGTTATTTGTCACAACCATGGTGATGTCACCCAGGATCATTCTAATGGAACTTAAAAAGACATCTCAAAATATTACAGGGATTGTGAAATTTGATGAACTGGTGAAATGAGATCTGAGGCTAAAAACAACTTTGAGTCAGGTAGCTCACTTTCCTGATAACCTTCCTCTTCCGTTTTAAGCCAGCATACAACCTGGTCCAGGCATATCATGCTCAGTAAGACCTTGATAGAGACATGATACTGTAACAAGATACTTCAGGGCTCCGTCTGGCTCAAAGTGAGGGAATAAGCCAGGCTAAATCTCAGCGGGTGTAAAATGCCATCTTCTTGGGGATGGAGGTTGGGGAGGAGCATGTTCTTAGCATAAAGAACATTTCGAGCAAGAGAAGAAAGATCAGTCTGCAGCAAGGAGTTGTCAGGGATTCACATGTGATTTAAGTGAGACTCAGAAGGGTAGTTAGTGTCCAGAGAATGAATCCATCCTTGTAGAGGTGAGATTTTGAAGCTGACTGTGTCTTGGGGTAGTCTTTGATCTTCTCACGTGTGCAAAAGAGAAATAGTTTTACCTTCAGCTCTGAGATCATGTTGTTCAGCTCTTTCTAGTGCAAGGAGCCTTTATCTGTGTCTCTGGACCAGGTCTATGAATGTTTTTCCCAAATTTTGATTGTCTTTCTGTATATTGGTTTTCTGTTGCTACTGTAACAAATGACCACAAACCTGTAGCTTACAACAACACAAATTTATAACCTTATGGTTCTATAAGGACAGATGGCCAACATGGATCCCACTGGGATAAAAGAAACATTCTCAACAGGCTTACATTCATTTTTGGAGACTCTAGGGGGGAACTGATCCATTCCTGGCCTCTTCCAGTTTCCAGAGGCTGCCCACATTGCTTGGCAAGTGGCCTCTTCCATTTTCAAAGCAAGACACATTGGATCTCTCTGAGCATTCTTCCATGTTTTCTTCTAACTGTGACTTAGTTCAAGCCCCTACTCCTCATCTCACAATAGGCCAGTAAGTCAAGAGATGAGTTGTTAGGGCAAGAAATAGCGATTTTGTTCAGAAAGCCAGCAGACTGAGAGGATGGTGGACTTGTATCCCAAGGAACCGTCTTACCCAACTAAGATGCAGGCTTCTTGTCTGAAAGGAATGCAAGCCTGCTGACACGTTTCTTTTATCCCAGTGGGACCCATGCTGGCCATCTGTCCTTATAGAATCATAAGATTATAAATTTGTGTTGCTGAAAGCCACAGGTTTGTAGTTAGAAGGCACGGTGGTGTGGTTGGTTTGTTGCAAACCACTTGGTGCCGGAATTGTTTGTTCTTGCAGCTGTCTATGTAGGTCTGATCATAGTGTTCCTATAAACCTACAACAGGACAAAGGTTATTCTCTTTTTTCTCTGTGTCTGAATGGAAAAGTGTTAAACCTTTAAAGGTCAGAGCCTTGAGAATGGGCTACCATGTTATATTTCAGGCTGTGGGCAACATTCTTTTACAAAAGGTGCAGAGCAAGCATGACTAAACACGGGTGACAGAGCACAAGGTTTGAAGCTAAAAGAATAGATCCAGTATCGGGACAGGTGTGTCCTCTGTTTTAGATTTGGGCGGGAAAGATGTTCTGATGTTAAGGATTCACATGATTAGATCGGGTCTGCTGGGGTAACTCACTGTAATGAGTCCATGTCAAGTTCCTTAACTTAATCGCTTCTACAGAATCCCTTTTGCCATGTAAGGTAACAAGGAGAGGAGAACAAGGAACAAACCTACAGACATCTTGGTGGGCAGCTTTATTCTTTGTACTTCTTAGGTTTATTTTTCCAGGGAAAATCTCTAAAGCATTTATGAGAATCTCATATGCTACCCATGACCACCCAAAAGGTTTAGACTCACTGTCTTAATCTCTGCCTGCCTCCAAGTTTGCTTGTTCTTCAGAATTCCCTCAACAGAGCCAACTTCAGATATTGACTTAGCCCATTCTATCCTCTTTCTTTGCATCCTTCCTCCTATTTAACATCTCCCCCCATCTTTCTATTTTATTCCTTAGTAGTATGGTGTCCCACATCAGAGATCTCAAATTTGGTGCCCTGCAAGTGTATATAATGTGGAGATATAATTGGCTTGTAGACTGTTTTTAAAACATTTGTGTTGTTCAGTTGCTAAATCCTGTCTAATTTTTTTGTGACCCCATGGACTGCAGCATGCCAGGCTTTCCTGTCCTTCACTATCTCCTGGAGTTTGCTAAAACTCACATCTATTGAGTTGGTGATGTCATCCAACCATCTCATCTTCTGTTGCCCTCTTCTCCTCCTGCTTTCAATCTTTCCCAGCATCAGGGTCTTTTCCAGTGAGTCAGCTCTTCGCATCAGGTGGCCAAAGTATTGGATCTTCAGCTTCAGCATCAGTCCTTCCAATGAATATTCAGGGTTGATTTCCTTTAGGATGGACTGGTTTGATCTCCTTGCTCTCCAAGGGACACTCAAGAGTCTTCTCCAGCACCACAGTTCAAAAGCATAAATTCTTCAGGTTTCAATGTTTAAATATCAGAGGTTTTATGGGTTTTTCACATTCTTTTGAAATATGTAAAAATGGGATAACCCAGGGTATACATTCTTGCAAGGCAATAATTAGTTG